TAGTATTCTTATTAGAACTCCCTAAGACAGGATAATTCCAGCATGCAAAGTGTGATGGGACATAGCCGGGAAGATGAGAAACTGTAGCCATCATCTAGGGATATTACTTTCTAAAAAAAACAGACGAACAAACATGTGTCAGTGACTGTCCGGACCCCGGCAGCCTTTGCCCCGCCCCTCCCCGGCCACAGCTCTGAGACGCCCTGGGCTAGGTCGATGGCTGCGCACGGGCTCCCGAGAAACAGCTGCCCAGTGAGTGCATGGACACAAGCAGAGCCGGAGCGCGTCCCCTGGCAGGCATGCGCGGTGGGCAGTGGGGATGCAGGCAGTGGGGGAAATGGCGATGAATGGGAAGGATGGGTGCCATCGTTCGCTTCCTATCCACTAGCTAACGCAGAGTGCCTCGGACTGAAACGTGGTAACTTTAAAAGACCAGAGGCTCTTTGAGATCAGTCTTGACGACGCCTCCTGCAAGGCGCAGGGCATTCCTCTCCCCGCCACCCCCAAATTAAGAAAGATGGGGTATCATGTATTTTAATAGGACTTTTTTTTTTTTTTTCCCAAAAAGGTCTGAAATTTTAAAATCAGACCAACCACACTAGGTGGATGGAATTGAGGACTTTAAAAACAAGAAGCAGATTCTAGTGGAGAGCTGGGAGGTGGGGGTGGGGGGGAATCAGATGAGACAAATATGGAAAAACATCAATTTGCAAAATCCTAAACTGACCATCTAATAATGAAATCTGTAACTTCCCCCCAGCTGGAGCTAATTATACTTTAAGATGGCCCCCCAAAAATGGTTTTGCACTTCATCTGCTATGAAATGTCATGAAATCATGTCATTTGCGAATGTAAACCCAGATGGACGATGGGCTGAAGTGACTGCTTTGTGCCCTCAGTTTCCCAGTGTGAGCTTCGTGTTTGTTTGATGAGAAGTTTTTCTGTTGCGAATGTGCCTACCCATCGCTGTTGCTCCTGGCAGCCTGCGGGTCCTCTTCGCCGCCCCTTTTAAAGAGAGATTGAAAGCTCACCTAATCTGCAAGGCACCGCGGTTTCACAAAATCCCCACCCAGCCTCTACATTCCTCGGGGATGGGCCGCCACCCCGTTAATGCTGAGGTCGCCTTTCTGGCTAACTCGGAGCGTCTCCTGGGACTGCCGCATGGAGGGAGGAATTCCGCACCTTGGCTGCAGTATTAGCAGAGCCCTCTGGAGACTGTGGTCTGGGACAGAAGGGACCGGTAATTATTTTCTTGTGCTTTCACTAACCGTCCATGCATCGGGGAGCTGGCTAAAGCAGCGCTTTATCTTGCAGCGCCTAAGGAGGCTCCTCGTGCTCCCAGACCTTGACCCCCAGTGTTCACCTGGACAGGCACAGGCGCGGCGACTCCTGCCCGTGATATCCTGGGCAGCGATATTAATGACCTCCCTCCCACACGCCGGCAGCCGGGGCAACTGCCTCTAAAATGTTTTCATTTACAAGTAACAATTCCCCATAAATTGTCAGCCACTAAAGCCGTGTCAGGACTGTGAAAACCAAACTAATCACCACCAACAAAAAAATACCCCCTCTCAAAACCCTATCTTCATAAATGCTTTGGGTCCTCCCTTGAAGCTGGGAGCGAAGGCAGCATGGCTAAGCCTTCTACGGTTTTATAATCGATTAGCTGATTAGCTCAACCAGTGTTAATGGCACTTTTTTTTTCCTTCTGGCACTCATTGGAAGGAAGGGTTAGCTCTGAGTTAGGAAACCCCGAATTTGACCTCTACTTCTCAAAGTCAGATTAGAACTACCAGTTTCTCTGCAAATGGCACCGCACGGCAGTCTGCAGTAGGTCAGGCAAGTCTAATAGCTCAGGCCAGCACTGAACAAAGCGCACGTCGCGGGAGCAGAAGACCCCGCAGCCCTGCTGGACGGCTGTCCCCGTCTCACAGGGAACTCCTGGAGGAGGAGGAGGAAGCCGTTTTGTTGCAATACCGCAGTGAGGAAAAAGAAAAAAGGAGACTCTGTTGGACGAGATAAAAATAAGGTTTCTAGACTCACATGCAGAATTCCCCTGTATGTCACTTTCACAGGCTAAATTTAACATCCTTGGAGATTACCTATGGCTTTCCTCTACAAAGCAGGCAAACTGGGGACATCGCTTCCTCTTTAAAAAAAAAAAATAGAAAAGAGAAGTTCTGGTTTAAATGCCTCGTCTGCATTACAGACGGGTTCACTTAGGGAGAATACTGTCTCTAAAAATTGAAAATGATTTGGAGCAATCTACAGAAGTGATAAAACTTTAAATTATTTCAAGGATGTGCTACCTTCCATCGGACTTGAGCTAAGGTAAACAGCGGATTCAAAATCCTTTTAAAAATGTCCAGTTTCAATCAAAATATTTCTCTAGAGGGTACATTAGAGGGTCAGATTAATTTTGCTTAGCCAGCCTCGCGAAGAAGCACCCCCGGCAAGCTGCAGGGGGAACGTGACGCAAGGTTTTTCTCTAAATGACAAATTCATGTAGCCAGATGCCCGTTTCTGGCTTTTTGTTTATTGACCGATGGCCATCTCTGGTGGCCGGACTTTACTGAAAGGTAAAGAATTAAGAATTTCAGAATTGGTTTGTGACAAAAGAAGGTGACTTAATTAGTGGCACGTATGTGCATATTAATAACTCACTGAGTCAGTTGTGAGATGGGTAAGACAGCCCATCCTTCTGAACTCACTGTGAAAGTATAAAAAATATCCTCAACCGAAATGTCCATGTCTACGAATGTCATGCTTTTTTTCTTCCCTGCCCCTCCATTATTTGATCTAAGGAATTCTAGAATTTTCCACGAAGAGCTACCTTCAGTGCACTTCTAGCTCTGAAAGGTGACACAATCCATTCTTTGTTCGCTGGGTGCATGGTAGGCGACAGTAAGGGGGTTCTCACTGGGCCTTTTCTGGGTTCGCCGGTGCGTAACTGAATTAAACCATGCTGCCCTGACTCAGTCTCCCCTTCTGATGTATCTGAAGGGTAGTTTCCCATTGAATCCAGGTTAGGAAAGGAAATGGGAGTTAACCAGCTAGTAACTGCAAACTAGGGCCTTCGCGTTATTGTAATCAAGAGGGGTTAACTGCTGAAAACAAAGGCTGGCAAACCCTGCCGGGGTCCCGGGACGAGAGCACCTTCTCAGGGCATCGTGAGTGCTCCCTGCCCAGAAAGCAGGACCCCACATTTACCTTTTGCACCCCTAATACACGTGTGCTTTCCTTTAATCTTCATTCTCATTGCGGTATTGTCACATTGTCCTATACCCAGATGCCTGGAAGGACATTTCAAAGGCAAAAATGCCCCTTGGTCCGGCCGGAAGTACCTAACTCCAAGCCTGCCCATCATTTAAATGGTCTTTTTTTGGGTTTCTTTAAGCAAGAGTTGATTTTTAAACAGGGAAACAACGATTTGCCCGTAATATCAACTTCGAAAAGGGGGAAGAGGGTTATTAACAAGGACTGCCTCTTCCAATTTTATGTAAGAATATGAAACAATGTTTCCCCCGTTAGTTTAAAACATCCTGTCCTGGCACACTGAGCTGCAATCTGCTGGGGGGCAGGAGGGGGGTCCTCTCTCCGCAGTGGTCAGTGCTGCCTAAGGGGTTGGGTTGGCCACGGCTGGCGTTAGCCACGCTGGAGACCCTGTCACGGGCGGGCGCTATTTTCCCAGGGAAGAGACTTTTTTTTCCAAGACTGGTGCTTTATTATTATTATTTGCTGCTGCACCAAAGACCCGGGGTGGGGGGTGGGGGGGGCTGAAGAGCGTTTTCCAGGACTTTCCAACATGTGGGCTGAAGAAATTACGGGAAAGACTGCCCGGCCCCCCCAAGGCGACCTGAACTTGCTGAAGGTTTGCGTCAAATGTGCCCCGACAGCAGCCTGGCTTTGACACTTACTCTCCGTTAAACCCGTTAACATGCAGGATCCTCATTTGCTTCACAATGGTGCTTTTACCAGATTCTCCAGCACCTAGAAGATGAAAGTCAGTCTCAGGTTATGAAGGAGGCATTTTACACACTTTGGGCAGCGAGAGGACTGTTGTTTTTTCCACAGAAGCAACACACACAAGACAAACATAACAGACTTGCAATTTTCCTTGACATGTCGACGCATCTACAATGAAATTAATGTCCAACTCGACCTGCAGTATTTGCCCATCGCGATAACAAACAAGAATGAAAGGTTTTGCCGTTTTCAGGTTTTCTTTTGGTTGTTTTAAAATTTGCGGAGTGGGGTAGCAAAGGGAATGACGCAATTCTGCCATGGGGGGACTGAGTTCGAGCTGCGCAGCGGGCCCCTTCCAGTCTGGGGAGTCACTGGCAAGCGCACAGAGAAAAACGTACGTCGCCACCCAATGCCTTGTTTGTCGGATTTTTCATGGTTAAAACACCCAGGGTTCACAAACAATGCCAGATACTGCAGTATCCTCCAGCGCGCACTGACGCAGCAGCCCCCCCAGACGACTTCACAATGCAGAGACTCCTCTGCGAAGCGTGCTCCCCCCTTCGCCTCCTGAAAAACCAGCCCCTCGAGCCGCAGGGTGACATTTCATCCAGCTGTCCACCCTCCTTTCCCCGCAAACTGTGTAAAGTCTCTGGATTTCCACAACCACGTTGTGTGTGTGGGCGGGGAGGGGACGGGAGACCACCGATTTTCTGCCATCTTCTCAAAAAACACATTTTAATATCCAATAGAGCGCTTGAGGACGACCATATTAACATGCAGCAACAATTGTAAAAAAAATTATTAAAAGGACGAGACTTTAATCATAAGGAAAAGAACATTCCTGGAAACCACGGCATTTTCAAAGATTTCAAGCCCTTCCCCAAGGGACACACGCCTCCATTTTAAATCACCTTTCATTTGTAAAAATACATTTTAAAACAAGACATTTCCACCAAGCCAGAAGGAGGATTGCATTTATTTTTTGTTTCTTTTTGTACACACGCTCCCTCTCCATCAAATAATTGTTGTGTGAACCATATTTTTTCCCTCCTCCCACACAAACCTGTTTGGTTTTTTACCGTCTTTTTCACTTTTATTTTTATTGTTTTGTTTTACTGCCCAGAGAGCAAAGCATTCCTCCTCCTCTCGCCTTTTCACAAGGCTGTAATCAATATCTGTAAAAGTTAAAATTAGTTTCCACAGAAACATTGATTTCAAAGCAAACACTCTATCTTAATGAGCCTAACTCTCATAAATTAAAATATTAAAGGTACTATTAAGAGATTCCATGAAGAGAAAACGTCGTGTTCATCAGAATCTCTGATTCTTATTTCAGAAGTGTCAGGCTATGTTATACTTCTCTTTTATAAGCACAAACAGACTTATGCCTCAGTTTCCACATTTATAAAATTAGAGAACTGGGCTGAAAAATTACTGTAGGATCTTTTGTGATACTGTAATTCACTCCATTTTTATGTCACTAAATTAAAATGAATTAAAAAACAGGACTTGGGGCATTATTTGGTGAGAATCACCACTTAAAAATGCAAACTGTGCTGCCCTGGCTTGGGCTGCAGACACCTGTGCCAGAGGCTAACAAATTGTGATTAAAACGTAGCCAGACTACTACGCCTGGGAAAGATTAGCCCATAGTGATGCAAAGTATGTTCAGTCACAGTCTCAAATTAAGTGGAGACTTTGTAATCACTGCCCAAAGGTGTTAGAAATTTAGGTACTATTAGCATCACACTTGTTTTAAATTAGTATTCAGATAGCAAGATAGCATTCCTAGGGGATTCTAGACTTTTCCAAGCTTATACTTTGAAATCAAATTATACGCATGTTATTCACATAGCATAATCCTACCTTTAGAAGTTTGAGACAAGACCTCAATATATGTGTCTCTGTGATTACTGAAATGCATAAATACCAGAGAGACTTATTTTCCGCTTTATAAAAATCTGGACCCAGGAGAACAAAGACATGACCCATCCAAAAAACAAAACAAAACAAAAAAACCCCAAACACTACCAGAAAGAACACCCCAGGCTTTTAACATTATATTCATCATCTCACTGTTTTGTTGAAATGTGACCATGAACTAGGTCTTAACCAAATTAACTTAGATAGCCACATTACTCAGGAAGTGGAAAACTTCCATACTAATTAATGCTTGTGTAATTCTTCTGGGCATTTCAACAATGTCTTTTACGCTTCTTTTATTTTTATTTTTTTCCCAAAGCAGCACCTTTAAGAAAAAAGGAGGAAAGATCATCTCCTTATAGTCAACCCCCCCAACCTTTTTTTCCCCCAGCCAGAGGAAAACCCGCAATCAAAAGAGAAAACCCAGAACCAAACAATCAAATAGCACTTGACATCTAATTAACGTCTTTTCATCCCCTTCCACCTGGAAAAAGTCTTCTCCTTAGAGCGCTCTCAACCTCCCCTCTTACTGAAAAGGATAAAAAACGCCATTTCCAGACCAAGAAGCCATTTACAGACAAATGTCATTTTCCAGTTCTAATTTGTGAATGTCTCCCCCCCACCCCACAAAGCACTCTCAATGTGGCCGAAAATGTGTGTGCGCTAATGGTTTATGGGGGGACTCTGCTGCGGGGGGAGGGGGAGCGAGAGCAGCTGCTACAATTAATTCTCTTCTTTGCTCTTCAAAAAGCCTGCATGTCTGGAAGGGGAAAAAAAGGTCATACTGTAAAAATGACGTGTCATTTGGCTTCACTGGGCATTTAGCGTACTAACTCCATTTTTTTTTTTTCGGTCTCATTTTATTTGATTTCTCCCCTTCCTTCCACCGCCCCCCGGCACGG